AAAATGTTTATCTCCCTGAGCTTGGCCTTCATAATTCCATTCCATCACACTGGTAAACTTTAATTTGATGGTGGATTCGAACTGAGTCCCTTTTAGAAACCATGTAAATCAAAAGGATTTGTTTCTATTCTGTTGCACTGGAATTTTAGACAAGTCAATATGGAAAAGTAAAATGCGGGCAGGACGTTACTTGGGGAGAGTGACAGGAGCAGTAGGAAAGGAATAGTGTCTGGAAGGCAGCCATGGCTCTTTCTCATACTTGCATTTATGCCTATGGATTGCAAACGCTTGGGTGTCCCTATTCACTGCAATGTACCTTATTGCCACTACAAATTATAAAGAAGCATAGACTTTATATCTGTTCAGAACTAATGCAGTGGAGGCACTCACTTATGGAAAGAAGAACAACTTCTGCAGAAAATAGTTCATTATAAAGATGAATGAATCAACTGAAGCTGGCTATTGCATGCCTGTGCATCCACACCCATGCACACACAGACGTAGAGTTCTTCCAAAAACGACTGTAAGTACAAAAATGAAAGGAGGATGGAGGGTTGCACTTTTTTTCACAGACAAGACTGGAGAGTCTATTAGCTTTGAATATGATTGAACATTTGCTGAAAGAAGCAAAAATGTGTACTTTATAACAGTGTCCTTCTACCCACTTTGTAATATGGAAGTGAGAGTTGGATACATAGGGGGAAAATTGATTGCAGTGGGAATGCACTATTTAAGTCCATGTGATCATTCCAAAAGAGGTAGGCTCAGAACAGAATGGTGTTGAATGAATGTGGATTGAATGCAATCATTTAGGCAAAATGAATGAGGATCAAATATATGAAGGAAGAATGAATAATTAGAGAAGGAGAACGTTGAGAAAGTGGTGATGTTTATAACATCTTCAAATACAGATGAAAAGTTTAAATAACAAAAGGCAATTTATAAAGCAGAGAATGGGTATAGTGGAGGTAAATAAGCATTTGCAAAGACAGAAAGTTACAGACAGCTATAGTGAATGGTACCAGCATAAATTAGATTTAGTGAAATACTTTTTGTCTTTAGCTTTTTTTTTTTTGGCTTACTGATTTTTTTTTGCAAGACTATTCCTTCTCTTATTATGACTTGCTCTTTTCCTATGCAATACTACTGCTTATCCAGAAAGGGAATAAGGGTATGTTGTCCCCTACGGAGTCTCCTTGCTGCTTAGACGAAAGAGCGATTCTTTTCCCTTGCTCCCTCCCTTTGCAAGGAGCTCTCCACTGCTGCAGCGGTGCGTCCCTGAACAACAACAAAGCCTCATAACTTCTTAGTGAAATATACACTGGAAATTAAACCAGGGCTGTACAGTATTCCTAAACATGCTACTTGAAACAAAGGCCGCTCACCTGTCCTCAGCACGGATGTTGGGGGGGGAGTTTCAGGTTTGCTGCTGCAGCTTTCCCTGAGAAGGACCGCCTTCTTTGGATGCTAAGTGCTCCTCTCCGGACTCTAGACTCTGCTTGCTCCTGGTAGAAGTGGGGATCCAGCTGGCATCCTGGGTGACTTTGCAGAGGGAAACAGGAACAGTTGGCTCTCAGCAAAGGCTCTTGTCACCTGGCTGTGCACCCCGTTGTGGCCCAGAAGTGTTCCCTCTGGACCACATTGCGGTTTAGAGCCACCAAGGAGATGCTGATATGGAGAAGGTAAGCCTTAGAGCTATACTGTTGACTGCCCCCTACCTCAGCAAGGGGAACTCCTGGAGACCCTATGGGAGACGAACCCAATCCAAAGGACCAGGAGGCCAGCAGGCGAGAGGACCGTTTCTTGCCCCTGCAGCCTGGAGACACCCGAGAGGGTCCCTGGAGCCGCCTGGCCAACATGGGGTGCCAGTGAGACCCGGTGGGAGGGTTTGGCTGGGCCCTGAGGGTAGGTGCCTCTCCCTGCTGTCACCCTGGGGCGAGAGATCACAGGCACAAACGGCCTCTCTCCCGTCTCTGAAATAGAAGCGTTAGGCGCGGTTCTCCGGGCCGCCGGTCGCCGGGTTGGGCTTTCCTGAGCCGGGGACCAGAGACGGTTCCCGACGGAGAGGGGCTACAAGGGTGCTGGGAGTGGGACTGGAAGCCTCTGCAACGCGCCCCACCTCTGCTGCATCCAAGCAAGGCCAGGGTGTGCCTCCAATTCCCGCCCCGGCTCCTTAGGGGACAAGCGCCATGCAGCGGCTCCTCAGAGAGGGAACCCTCCCCGCCGCCGCCCCACATCCTTCTGGGTCGGGACTTGCCAAGAGCAGGAAGAATGGGGGGGGGGGGGGTAGGAGAGAGGCGATCCCGTAGCAGAGTCCCCCGTTGCAGCGCAGGCGACCCCTTCTCCAACGGAGAGCTTTCGCATCCCTCCCAAGAGGGAACTTGCTGTTTCCATCTCACCACCGAGAGGCCTCACAGCTAGTGCTAGTTACTCCTCTGCGCCCCACGCTTAGCCCGTTATCCCTCCATAAGAATCTCTCCTCTTATCCCATGACTGCTGTTGCTCAAAACCCTTTCAGGGTGGGCAGGGGAGAAGAGGGGTGGGGCATGAATGTCAAATGTGTTTTGGACATTCTGGTACATAATGACTACCAGGCAATCCCTCATGGTTGTTAACCCTCTACAAAGAAACAAATCACAGCACCTGGAAAGATCAATGAGGTAAGATTTATCTTTTGCAAAAGCCATACTGAGTATTTCTGAACCATGGGTGGATTCGCACAACACCGTAAGCTCAGTTTAACAAGATGGCTGTGTTCACACAACATGCTATTTCCACCAACAACCTTTGTTTATACAATTTTTTCCCAGTAAGTTATAGCTAGCCTCGATCCAAATAGACCTGTTATAACTTAATAGATGATCTGATTCACCGCGCATACTAAGACAATGGTGAGGTTTGGAGAAGTGAAACACAAACTACTACCCACATTTTAGCCTAGCTTGTTTTGTGCAGACTCTGCCATTAGGTATGTTTTTGATTGTCCTACCTCAGACAGGGACTAGGAATAAGAACAAATATCTATATATGGTCAAAGTGCTAAAACAAAGGCCGGAAACATTGGGGCTTTTCATTGTATTAAAAAAGGCAAATAAGATGTGTGTTGATTTCTGACTGCCCCACGTAAGTAGGAGCTGAGAATGGAAAAATAGTATCTAAATTATTAACTGAATGATTATCTACAATGATCAAGGTGCCACTAAAAACATTCATTTCCTGTTCCTGTTTATTTTCTTTAAAAATTAAGCTTCAGTGTGATAGGGACTCTTCTACCTGTTCCATTCTTCCATCTGGACCTTCTGACACAACTCTTGAGGATGCACACACCCTCCTCCATAGAGGTGACAAACCCTGTGGAGCATGGGATGATTCTGTGCAAGAAGGGACAGAGGATAAAATTCTTCTTCCACAATGGCATCTTGACTGGCCATGTTTTGATGTTAGAAACCCCAGTCTCCCAAACCAGGCCACAACCTGTTGTCTGAATCTAGCAAGATTTGTCATAGGAAAATAATTTTTGGCATTCAAAATTTGACTGAGACCTGTTCCTCTCATTCTTTCTGACCAGTCCTGTTGGCCAACCCAATCTTTGTTTAGGAGCCTCTGTTCCCATGATATAGCCATTTCTCCAAGGCAGTTGTCTAATTATAAAAGTCATAAAACTGAGGACAAATCTCCCCCTTCCCTCCTCTCTCTAGCATGCATTTTACACAAACAGTGGAATGTGGGGGGGGGAGTCATTTTTAGTGTGGCCCTGTGGCATCACTGTTTGCAGCATGCTGCAACTCTAGAACTCTGAACTGGAACCAGATCTTCTTGAAAAGTCTTCATTTCAAACCAGTTTGAAATCAGTTTAGAGCTGTTTGTTTGATCTCAGGTATATGCCAGTGTGCTCCAAACTACACTAAACATCCAAATCTAGAACACTGGCTACTAGCCATTTCACTTAACTGGAATCAACATTCTCAGTGATAAAAAAACAATAAAAATTTGTACAAATATATATATATAAAGTTAAAAGGCGGAGAGAGCATCTTCACGCCACCAACCACACCCACTACTGCAAACCCCCATGTGATCCCCATGCTAGTTGCCAGAGCCAGGTCTTAATGCTCTTCTGGAAGGCCAAAAGAGTGGGGGCCAATCTCACTTCACAGGGCAAGATGTTCCATAGGGCAGGGGCAATGACAGAAAAGGCTCTCATCCTAGACCCTGCCAGTTGAAATTCTGTAGCTAATGGGGTCCGTAATATGCCCTTCCTGCCAGACTGGGTGGGATAGGTCGATGTAACCAGGACAAGACACTTCCTCAGATAACCTGGGCCCATGTCATGAAGGGCTGTAAAGGTCATAACCAACACCTTGAATTGGACCTGGAAGCAAACCAGCACCCAATGCACCTCACACAGCAGAGGTGCTACATGTGCAACCCTAGAGGTGCCCATAACTGCCCAGGCCGCCACATTCTGCACCACCTGCAGCTTCCAGATACTTTCAAGGGTAGCCCCATGTAGAGCGCATTGCAATAGTCTATATGGGAGCTGACCAGGGCATGAGTGAATGAGAGACTGACATGTATTGTGTCACATATGGCTCCTGGGCTGCAATTTTGGCACTTCCACTTTCTCTCCCACCGTTGACTTCCTGGAACCATCTGATTGGCCACTGGGATACTAGATGCCAGATAAGATTAACTTTTTTGATCTGGTTTAGCAGGTCATTTCTTGTCATAAGTCTATTTTGTAATTTAAACTACATTATAGAAATGGCCAGTACTACATGTTGTGGTAGTAGGACCAAGCAGGTGCCAATCCAGATTGGCTGATCTTGTGTTGTCCATCTCTCCACAGGTCTGTGGATACCTTATGGTGTTTGCAACCACCTTGGAAGTGGGGGACAAACTGCATTTGGCTGGCTTTTGCTATGCTATGTCTGACCATGCTGACCTTAGTTTGCCTACAGTCAGGGCTAATGCTGCATTTGGGTTCCCGTGAGCCAGGAATGCCCTCCAAGTCCATGAGGAAAATCTTCCAGGGCATCCAGACTTCCTCAGAGAAAAACAGAACTCTGCAGTACCTCTCGGCTGCCGGATCTGTCAACCGGAACTTAGAAGTTACAACACAGGCTTTGGCAGAGGATTCCTTCTTCTCCAGAATCAGGAAGTTCTGGCAACGCCTTGAGAAGGTGTTTGCTGGATTCCAACAACTCAGAAGGACTTCTCATTCCAGCCTCCCAGCACAGCCCCTACCCTGGCCTGCATGGCAGAAAGAGCTTTCATCCCGAGTCCTGGGCCCTCGTCTCCAGCAAGTCTTCCAGAATTATCAAGCAATGAACAAGTATCGAGTGCCGTCAGGTGCTGGGCAGCGCCCAGGCAATCCACACCTAACTGGAATGGAGCTCTTGTGCCAGCTGAAAAATCGTGTGAATGTATCCACTGTGTTGGGTAATGAAGGACCCTTTGCAGAACCTGAATGGAGGGGTATGCTGCCTCAGAGGAGCTTGGCAGAAGATCTGGGTCACCTGGAGACATGTGCAGTTGTGAGCTCAGCTGGCTCCATGTTGGGGTCAGGACTGGGCAGTGAGATTGGTGAGTGTTAAAGGAAGAGTCAGGCATTCGTATGGGGTGGTTGTGACTCAGCCTACTTAATCTTCCTTATAGAGTTGGTAAATATCTTATTCCTAAACAAATGCTATAATTCATGGCCATATTAATTTTTTTTTTTTTTATTGGAAAAGCCAAGGAATGCAATCCTATGTTGCAGTAGATGTCTCACCTTTCCTTTCTATCTTGTTCTATTCTTAGAAAAGAGAACCTGTTTATAGCTCACTGCTATTTGGATGATCAAAATCATTTTCACTCTCACCCCTTTGGGATTATTCTCTCTGATCTAGGTGCTCCCAGGTCCTGTTAGCTTTTCCCCAGGATTCAATATAAAATATATAGTATCTTTTTCAATACAGTACTACTTGGTTTCATTATAGTTAAATCCCTTCATCAATGTATTGGGATCCTTTAACTCAGTATTTCCCAACCTCAGCAACTTTAAGCTGTGTGGACTTCAACTCCCAGAATTCCCCAGCCAGCATGGCTGG